GGCATCCAGATATACAAAGAAAATATTAGAGTTAAAGAGGGAAATAGGCCCCAGTAAAATAATAGGAGGAGATTTCAACTCCTCACTTTCAATATTGGACAGAATTCCAGACAGAAAATCAATAAAGATACATCAAACTGAATCTGCACTATAAAACAAATGGATCTAATAGATATTTATAGAACATTTTATTCAAGAGCTACAGAATACACATTCTTTTCTTTAGCACACAGATCATTCTCAAGGATAAACTATATGTTAGGTCACAAAATAGTTCTTAAAACATTCACGTAATTTGAAAGAATATCAAGCATCTTTTTTGGCTGCAATAGAATAAAACTAGAAATCAATAAGAAGGGGAATTTTGGAAACTATTCCTATACATGGAAATTAAACAGTATGCTCCTGAATGACTAGTGAGTCCATGAAGAGATTAAAAAGGAAATTGAAAAATTTCTTGAAATAACTGAAAATAGAAACACAACATATGAAAACCTGGAGTCTACAGCAAATCAGTACTAAGGTGGCAGTTTATAGTTACAAGTTCCTACATTAAAAAGAGGAAAAACTTCAAATAAACAATCTAATGATGCATTTTAAAGAAGTAGAAAAGCAAGAGCAAACCAAACCCAGAATTAGTAGGAGAAAAGAAATAATAAAGATCAGAGTAGAAAGAAATGAAATTGAAATGAAAAACAATACAAAAGGAAAACTGATGGACCCAAAGGAAAATACTAAGAGAAACAGACAATTGGGATTCTCACAGTGGAAATATAAGTTGTCAACAATGACATCGGTACAAGACATAAAATGTAAACCTTGATGCATAAATACAGATTTTGGATAAGTTATTTTTAAAATAAATATATGAAAAAAGATCAATGAAGCAGAAAGTTGTGTTTTCTTCTGAGGGGGGAAGTTAAACAAATTGATGAACCATTAGCCAGACTAAGTAGGAAAAAAAGTGAGAAAATCCAAATGAATGAAATCAGAAATAAAAAAGGAGACATCACAACTAATACCAAAGAAACTTGAAGGGTCATTAGTGGCTGATATGAGCAACTATATGACAATAAATTATGAAATCTAGAAGAAATAAACAAATTCCTAGATATATAGAACATACCAAGACCAAACCATGAAGAAATAAAAAAGCGTGAACAGACCAATAACAGGTAACAAGATGAAAGTCGTAATAAAAAGTTTTCCACTAAAGAAAGACCTGGGACCTGACAGCTTCACTGCTGAATTCTACCAAATACTTAAAGAAGAATGAATACCAATCCTACTCAAAACATTCCACGAAACAGAGGAGATGGGAAGACTTCCATAGTCATTCTTTGAGGCTGGTATTACTTTGATACCAAAATCAGACAAAGACACACAAAAAAAGAAAACTGTAGCTCAATATCTCTGATGAATATCGATGCAAAAATCCTCTACAAAATACTAGCAAGGTGAATTCAACAATACATTATAAAGATCATTCATCATGACCAGGTAGGATTTATCCCTGGAGTGTAAGGATGGTTCTACACACTCAACTCAATCAATGTGATACATTATATTCACAGAATGAAGCATTAAAAACAATATAATCATTCCAATTGATGCTGAAAAAGCATTTGATACAACTTAACATCACTCCATGAAGAAAACCCTCAAAAAACTGGGGATAGAAGGAACATACCTCAACGTAAAATCCATATACAACAGACACGCAACTAGTATCATATTGAATGGGGAAAAACTGAAAGCCTTTTCTCTAAGATCTGAAACACAGTAAAGATGCCCACTGTCATCATTGTTACTCTAGATAGTACTGTAGGTCCTAGCTAGAGCAATCAGACAAAAAAAAGACATAAAAGCCGTCCAAATTAGAATGGAAGATGTCAAATTATCTTTATTTATTTATTTTTCCATTAGTTATTGGGGTACAGGTGGTATTTGGTTACACGAATAAGTTCTTTAGTGGTGATTTGTGAGATTTTGGTGCATCCATCACCTGAGCAATATACACTGCACCATATTTGTAGTCTTTTATCCCTCAGCCCCTTCCCATTCTTTCCCCCAAGTCCCCACAATCCATTTTATCATTCTTATGACTTTGCATCCTCATAGCTTAGGTCCCACATATCAGTGAGAACATATGAAGTTTGGTTTTCCATTCCTGAGCTACTTCACTTAGAATAATAGTCTTCAATCTCATCAGGTTGCTGCAAATGCTGTTAATTCACTCCTTTTTATGGCTGAGTAGTATTCCATCATATATCTTTATCATGGTATATATACATGATGGTATATATATATGTGGTGTGTGTGTGTATGTGTGTGTGCATATACATATACACACACACACATATATACACACCACAGTTTCTTTATCTACTCTTTGATTGATGGACATTTGGGTTGGTTCCGTAATTTGGCAATTGTGAATTGTGCTGATATAAACATGCATGCATGTGTAAGCATCTTTTTCATATAGTGACTTCTTTTCCTCTGGATAGATACCCAGTAGTGAGACTGCTGGATCAAATGGTAATTCTACTCTCAGTTCTTTAAGGAAGCTCCACACTGTTTTCCATAGCGGCTGTACTAGTTTACATTCCCACTAGCAGTGTAGAAATGTTTCCTGATCACCGCATCCATGCCAACATTTACTGTTTTTTTTATTGTTTTGATTATGGTCATTCTTGCAGGAGTGAGTTGGTATTGCATTGTGGTTTTGATTTGCATTTCCTTGATCATTAGTAATGTTGAGCATTTTTTTCATAAGTTTGTTGGCCATTTGTGTATCTTCTTTTGAGAATTGCCTATTCATGTCCTTAGCCCACTTTTTGATGGGATTGTTTGTTTTTTCTTACTGATTTGTTTGAGTTTGTTGTAGCTTCTAGATATTAGTCATTCCTTAGATATATAGATTGTGAAGATTTTCTCCCACTCTGTGAGTTGTCTGTTTACTCTGCTGACTGTTCCTTTTGCTGTGCAAAAGTGCTTTAGTTTAATTAAGTTTGAACTATTTATCTTGGTTTTTATTGCATTTGCGTTTGGGTTCTTGGTCATGAAATCCTTGCATAAGCCAATGTCTAGAAGTGTTATCTTTTTCAGTGTTATCTTCTAGAATTTTTACAGTTTCAGGTCTGAGATTTAAGTCCTTAATCCATCTTGAGCTGGTTTTTGTATAAGGTAAGAGATGAAGATCCAGGTTCATTCTCCTATATGTAGCTAGCCAATTATCCCAATACCATTTGTTGAAAAGGGGGTCCTTTCCCTATTTTAGGTTTTTGTTTGCTTTGTCAAAGATTAATTGGTTGTAAGTATTTGAGTTTATTTCTGGGTTCTCTATTCTGTTCCATTTGTCTCTGTGCCTATTTTTATACCAGTATCATGCTGTTTTGGTGATTATAGCCTTATAGTATAGTTTCAAATTGGGTAGTGTGATGCGTCCAGATTTTTTCTTTTTGCCTAGTCTGCTTTGGCTATGTGGGTTCTTTTACGGTTTGGTTTGATATGAATTTTAGAATTTTTTTTCTAATTATGTGAAGAATGATGGTAGTATTTTGATGGGACTTGCATTACATTTGTAGATTGCTTTTGGCAGTATGGTCATTTTCACCATATTCATTGTACCCATCCAAGAGCATGGGATGTATTTCCATTTGTTTGTCTCATCTATATTTCTTTCAGCAGTGTTTTGTAGTTTTCCTTGCAGAGGTCTTTTGACTTCTTGGTTAGGTATATGCTTAAGTATTTTATTTTATTTTTGCAGCTATTGTAAAGGGATTAGGTTCTTGATTTGATTCTCTGCTGGATCGCTGTTGGTGTATAGGAGAGCTACTGATTTGTGTACATTTACCTTGTATCTGGAAACTTTATTGAAATCTTTTATCAGTTCTGGAAGCTTTCTGGGGAGTCTTTAGGGTTTTCAAGGTAAAGGATCATATTACCAGCAAACAGTGACAGTTTGACTTCCTCTTTACTGATTTGGATGCCCTTGATTTTTTTTCTCTGGTCTTATTGCTCTGGCTAGAACTTCCAGTACTATGTTGAAGAGGAGTGGTGAGAGTGGGGATCCTTGTCTTGTTCCTGTTTTCAGGGGCAATGCTTTCAACTTTTTCCCATTCAGTATTATGTTGACTGTGGGCTTGTCATGATGGCTTTTATTACATTGAGTTATGTCCCTTGTATGCCAATTTCACTGAGGCTTTTAATCATAAAGGGATGCTGGTTTTTGTCAAATGCCTTTTCAGCATCTAGTAAGAAATCATGTGATTTTTGCTTTTAATTCTGTTTATGTGGTGTATCACATTTATTGACTTGCATATGTTAAACCATCCTTGCATCACTGGTATGATACCCACTTAATCATGGTGGATTATCTTTTTGATATACTGTTGAATTATGTTAGCTAGTATTTTGTTGAGAAGTATTCTTAAATGAAGTATATTCTTAAATGTTCTCTGGTGAAGTGTTCTGGAAGAGATAAACCACATTTATGCTATGGAGAAAGCATTGTTCTTTAACTCTTTCTGAAAATGAACTCAAATCTTGTGTTCATGATTTCTGATTTGAAAACAAAGAAACAAAGTTGAAGCAAAAGGATTAAGTGACCTTGTATACCCACACTGTATGCACTGTTATGCCTATGTAAACACAGCACAGGTACACAGCAGCAATCTTGGCTCTCTCCTCCAAATAATCCCTCCTCTACATCAGGACTGACAACAACCATCTATAATGAAAGATCAGGTCACCACTGAAATTTTCCAGTGTTATCTGTGAGGATGGCTGACTGCTAAGGTCAGTGATGCAGAGTAGAGTCACCCACCCTTGGTTTTTCTCAACTCCTGCCTGTCTCTTATACACATCTAGATGTGTATAAGAGACAGGAGTAGAGTCACCCACCCTTGGTTTTTCTCAACTCCTGCACAAGACAGTGGGCTTCCCCTTGAACATGCTTCCCCAGTGCTCCTCTTCGCTACCCCACAATTCCGTAGGGTCATGAGAAAGAAAAGCCAGATCTCCTTACGTGTCTTTCCATCGCTAAAAATGATCCTAACAGGAAGAGAAACAAAAACAAGGAGGGAGGTCCTAGGCAAGAAGAGGGAGCTGATTTTCAACAGCCACACATATGGGCCAAGGTCAGTTTTAGGAGCTCTTCAAGTGTTTGTTTTCCATTCCCTTTCTGCCTCATTACCCATACAAAGGCGCGCACACACACACACACACACACACACACACACACACACACCCCTACCAACTCCTTCCTAGCTTTTTTTGGATACTGGGAAAATACCTTTTCCAGAAAACTCCTCTCCATAATCAATTACCACTTCATATTCATGCAACTCCAGGATAAGCTTTATGTCAAAGTACACAGTGAACACTGGGACATAGACTTTTGAGAACTGAGAAAGGAGATATATATACACATATTTGATGATTACTGTACTTGCCACTTATGGATGGCCTGCAATGTCCCATGAAATGGCCCAGACAACCAGTAGACATTAAAATTTATCCTCACATCAATACACTCAGCATGTTTACTTGCCTTGTTTTGCACATAAAAAAACTGAGGTCAGAGAATCTCAAATTCATTTTCAGGGTCCTACAGTCAATATATAGAAGATCTACATTTGAATCTCTACTTATTCAAACTCTTACAGTTGAGCAATTCATCAGTACCCTCAAAGTAATCCTTCTTTTTTTGTGTGACTAACATGTTTTGTAATTCATATGTAGCATCATTTTTAATACACACATATTTCTATGAGATGAGCATTATTACCCCATTTTACAAAGTCAAGATTTTATTAGTGATAAAAAATGGTATTTTTATTTTATTTTGTTTTATTTTATTATACTTTAAATTCTGGGATACTTGTGCTGAACGTGGGGCTTTGTTACATAGGGATATATGTGCCATGGTTGTTTGCTGCACCTATCAACCCATCATCTAGGTTTAAGCCCCATATGCATTAGGTATTTGTCCTAATGCTCTCCCTTCCCTTGCCCCCCACCCCCCGGCAGAGCCCAGTGTATGATGTTCCCCTCTCTGTGTCCGTGTGTTCTCATTGTTGAACTCCACTTATTAGTGAGAACATGAGGTATTTGGCTGTCTGTTCCTATGTTAGTTTGCTGAGGATGATGGTTTCCAGCTTCATCCATGTCCCTGCAAAGGACATGAGCTAATCATTTTTATGGCTGCATAGTATTCCATGGTGCACATTTGCCACATTTTCTTTATCCAGTCTATCATTCATTGGCATTTAAGTTGGTTGCAACTGTTTGCTATTGTAAATAGTGCTGCAATAAACATACATGACCTTTAATATGCAATAAACATACATGATCTTTATAGAATAATGATTTATAATCCTTTGGGTATATACCCAGTATTGGGATTGCTGGGTGAGATGGTATCTCATTGTGGTTTTATTTGCTTTTCTCTAACGACCAGTGATGATGAACTTTTTTTCACACGTTTGTTGGCTGCAAAAATGTCCTTTTGTGAAGTGTCTGTTCAGATACTTTGCCCACTTTATGATGGGGTTGTTTATTTCTTGTAAATTTGTTTAAGATTTTTTGTAGATTCTGGATATTAGCCCTTTGTCAGATGGATAGATTGCAAAAATTTTCCCCCATTATGTAAGCTGCTGTTCACTATGATGATAGTTTCTCTTGCTGAGCAGAAGCTCTTTAGTTTAATTAGCTCTCATTTGTCAATTGTGGCTTTTGTTGCCATTGCTTTTGGTGTTTTAGTCATGAAGTCTGTGCCCATGCCTATGTCCTGAATGGTATTATCTAGGTTTTCTTCTAGGGTTTTTATGGTTTTAGGTTTTACATTTAAGTCTTTTATCCATCTTGTGTTAATTTTTGTATAAGATGTAAGGAAGAGGTTCAGTTTCTGATTTCCTCATATAGCTAACCAGTTTTCCCAGCATCATTTATTAGGTAGGAAATCCTTTCTCTACTGCTTGTTTTTGTCAGGTTTATTGAAGATCAGAGGATTGTAGATGTGTGGTGTTGTTTCTGAGGCCTCTGTTCTGTTCCACTGGTCTATCTATCCATTTTTGTACCAGTACCATTTTGTTACATTGCAAATACTGAACTAAGACAGGGCATCAGTATACTTCTGCTTTTATTTCTGGGGAAAGAAATATTCTGTGCGACTAACCTAAGCAGCATATGATTTCATAAATGGAATTTTAGGTCTGTCAGGAAATAAAGTTTAGGTCAACTGATCTGCAGTTTCTGCCAAACCATACAGTTGTTTTTGTTTTCGTTTTTGTTTTCTAACACTGTATTGTCCAGTTTCTCTTTTGGCTAACTTTATAATATAGTATATTTTTTTAAATTTAGTGTAATTCGATATGCTAGCACATAATTTGTCAGATAATTGCATGAAATCATTTCCAGGAAAAGGACAACCAACAGTCAGAATTCACTATTGAAAACTTGGTTGGCACTGTAGCTGATCAATTTGTTGCTGGAACAGAGACAACAAGCACCACTCTGAGATATGGACTCCTGCTCCTTCTGAAGCACCCAGAGGTCACAGGTAGGACCACAGATGATGAACAAAGTGAATTTAAGAACAATGCCGAGAAGATGGTGCCAGTGTCCTCCACCTTATTTCTCTCAGGGAAGCTTCATTCCTTAAATTTCTGTGTCATCAGCTGTAATCTGTCTAAATTTGATGACATGATTAAAAAGGACATCTCTGCACAATGGAGGAGGATGACTGAGATCAGTAAAAACAGTATGGCAGTAGCAAAATAAATAAAGCCCTGATGAAGTGTCTGGATTTCAGCAGAGGTAATTTGTGGTAGGGAGAGTCAGCAAAATTGGCCTAGTATCCACTTTGAACAGTAGGTACATTCTTGAAGATATCTTTTTTCATTTTGAAACTCCATGCTCTGATACTGGGGTAGGGAGATGAAAACGATCTTTATTGAAGCATAAGTGGAATTCTGGAATTGTACTGAGGCATCCTGAGATAAATTCCAGTCTGGGAAGTAATCTAAAAGTTAGACACCTAAGAAACGTGTTTCCATTTAAGCAGAGGCCATACCTAAAGGAATTTTATTATTCCAAAAGCATGTTTCATAAAACTGCTATTTGACCAAATGGAAATATGTGGAAGGGGGGGGGGTTAATAATTGCATCTTTCACATACAACTTTTCTTTAGAATTTACAATTTACCTTTAGAGTAAACTCTACATTTCCTTAGAATTTACATTTAAATAGTAAATGTAGCAGATTTTGGCAGCAGATAACATACTTTCTTCCCTGTGTCAGGATCCCACTGAAATTTCAATAACTAAATTACAAATTAAAATTAGCCTGTTGAAGTAAAAGAAGAGGAGAATAGAAAACAGCCCGTAAGTCTCTGGCAAATTTCTGAGACACGGAGAGACAATGGGCTGACAATTGACACAGCATAGAGGATTGAGTTGTATCATAAGTATCAGCAGAGGAAGATTTATCAAGAGGAGAAGCTAATCTATGTCACTATAATTCTCATAAGGTTCAGTATTTGGAGGCACCAAGGACCAAAGAAGTTAGGGAATGAGGCTGAAAAGGGAGCCTCTCCTACCCAGGTTTCCTCCATGACTCCTTTTACCAGGTACCTGATTTTTTTCCCACTGGAAAAGGGAAGCACATTCTCCAGAGAAACACAGCCTAAGAAACCCTGTACTCGGGGACACTTTACAGGGCCAGGAAAGTGTGAGGTGTGAAGCCAGCCATTATTTTCTGGAAGACATTAAAGATAATTGGTATAATTTTTTTCTTAAATGTTGGAGGAATTCAACAGTGAATATAATTAGGGCTTATGGTTTTCTGTTTTGGAAGTTATTAATGATTGATTCAACTAAGTTAGTAAATAAAGGCTTAAGCAGATTATCTATTTTCTTTTGTCTGAGTTTTAAAAGATTTGTCTTTAAGAAATTAATCGATTTCATTTGAATTATTGTGGTTGTGGGCAGAGAGTTGCCCATAATATATAGTTATTATCCTTTCAGTGTCTAAGGTACCAATAGTTATACCCCTTTTAATTTTGACGTTATTAAAATGTGTTTTCTCTCTTTTTGCTCTTGGTGAAACTGGCTAGATGTTTGTTAAATTTATTTTCAAAGAACAAGTTTTTGGTATCATACATACAGTTGGACCTTGCTTTTTATCCACTCTGATAGTTTGTGTCTTTTAGTTGGTGTATTTAGTTATGTTTAAAGTGATTTTGATATAGTGGGATTATATGTACCACATGTTTGTTGTTGTGTTCTACTCATTGCCCTTGTTCTTTTTCTATTTTTGTCATCAATTCTTGTTCTGCCTCCTGTGGTTTTAAATGAGCATTTTATATAATTTAGTTTCCTCTTCTTAACACATAATATTTCAATATTTACTTTAGTAATTTCCATAGAGTTTGCAATTTATATTTGTAATTAATCCAAGATCACTTTCAAATAACACTACAGTGCTTCATGGGTAGTGTATCTACCTGTAACAAAGTATTCTTAACTCCTCCTTCCAATTCCTTATATCCTTACTGCCATTCATTTCACCTATCCGTAAGCTATAATTCCCAAATATATTGTTGTCATTATTATTTTGAACGAACTACTATCTGTCTGACAATTAAGAATAAGAAAAATACAAGTTTTATATTGCCATCAATTACTCCTTCTCTAACATTGTTCTTTTCTTTATGTGGGTCAGTGTTTGGCTTATATCATTTTCTTCTTTCTAAGGAAATTTTTAACATTTCTTGCAAGGCAGGAACTAAAGACAATTTTCTCAACTTTCTATGAGTGAGAGTCCTTATTTCTCCTTCAGTTAAGAAGGATAAGTTTTCTGGATACAGAAAGCAAAGTGGATGAGAATATTTTCCAACACTTTAAATATTTTGCTTCACTCTGTTCTTATTTGCATGAACTTTTAAGAGATGTTTGATGTAATTCTTATTCTCATTCCTAGATAGCTATGATGTTTTCTTCCCCTAGCTTCTTTCAAGATTTTTGCTTAGTCTTTATTTTCTTCATTTAAATATGATGTGCCTAGGTGTAGACTTTTGGGTACTTAACCTACTTGGTGTTCTTTGAGTTTCTTGGATCTGCAGTTTGCTGTCTGTCCTTAATTTTGGGAAATTCTCAGTCATTACTGCTTCAAATATTGCTTCTTCAGAACACTTTGTTTTTAAATAAGCTTTTTTCATTGAAGTACAATATACATAGAAAAAGATGCACATGTTCTAAATGTACAGCTCAATGCATTAACATAAAGTGAATGTCTTTATACAACCTACAAGTAAGACATAAAAAGGAATTTTGTTTCTAAGGCATCCTCTTTCTTTCTACTGCCACATCCTCTTTTAAGGTATCCACTATCATTCCACAGGTTAGTTTTTACAAATTTTGTTGTATTAAACAGTCAGGTATACATGCTCATATTTCTTACATGGGTATGTTGTGTACTGGTGGGGACTGGGCTTCTAGTGCACCCATTACCCAAATGATGAACATTATACCTGATAGGTAATTCACCAAACTTTCTTTCCCCATTGCTTGTTCTTTTCAGGTTTGTCAAAGATCAGATGGTTGTAGATGTGTGGTGTTCTTTCTGAGGTCTCTGTTCTATTCCACTTGTCCACTGTTTTGATACCAGTGCCATGCTGCTTTGGTTACTGTAGCTTTGTAGTATAGTTTGAAGTCAGGTAGCATGATGCTTCCCACTTTGTTCTTTTTGCTTAGGATTGTCTTGGCTATGTGGGCTCTTTTTATGTTCCATATGAAATTTAAAGTAGTTTTTTCCAATTCTGTGAAGAAATTCAATGGTAGCTTGAATGGGGATAGCAATGAATCTATAAATTACTTTGGGCAGTATGGCCATTTTCATGATATTAATTCTTCCTATCCATGAGCATGGAATGTTTTTTCATTTGTTTGCGTCCTCTCTCAATTCCTTGAGGAGTGGTTTGTAGTTCTCCTTGAAGAAGTCCTTCACATCCCTTGCAAGTTGTATTCCTAGGTATTTTGTTCCCTTTGTAGCAATTATGAATGGGAGTTCACTTACGATTTGACTCTCTGTCTATTACTGGTGTATAGAAATGCTTGTGATTTTTGCGCATTGATTTTGTATCCTGAGATTTTGTGAATTTGCTTATCAGTTTAAGGAGATTTGGGGCTGAGAAAATGGGTTTTTCCAAATATAAAATCATGTCATCTACAAACAGAGACAATTTGATCTTCTCTCCTTCTACTCAAATATGCTTTATTTCTTTCTCTTGCCTGATTGCCCTGGACAGAACTTCCAATACTGTGCTGAATAGGAGTGTTGAGAGAGGACATCCTTGTCTTGTGCCAGTTTCAAAGGAAATACTTCCAGCTTTTGCCCATTCAGTATGATTTTGGCTGTGGGTTTGTCATAAATAGCTTGTATTATTTTGAGATACATTCCATCAATACCTAGTTTATTGACAGTTTTAGCATGAAGGGGTGTGGAACTTTATTGAAGATCTTTTCTGCATCTATTGAAATAATCATGTGGTTTTTGTCATTGGTTCTTTTTATGTGATGGATTACATTTATTTATTCATTTATTTTGAGAAAGAGTCTATCCCCGTTATGCAGGCTGGAGTGCAGTGGTGTGATTTCAGTTCACTGCAACCTGCGCCTCCCAGGTTCAAGTGATTCTGCTGCCTCAGCCTCCTGAGTATGTGGAATTATAGGGGCATGCCACCACAACTGGCTAATTTTTGTATCTTTAGTACAGATGGGGTTTCCCCATGTTAACCAGACTGCTCGTGAGCTCCTGACCTCATGATCCACCTGCTTTGACCTCCCAAAGTGCTGTGATTACAACCGTGAGCCACCTCACCTGGCCTATGTTTATTGATTTGTGTATGTTGTACCAGGCTTTAATCTCACAGATGAAGTCAACTTGATCATGGTGGATAAGCTTTTTGATGTGCTGCTGGATTTAGTTTGACAGTGTTTTATTGAGGTTTTTCACACTGATGTTCATGAGAGGTATTGGCCTAAAAGTTTATTTTATTATGTCTCTGCCAAGTTTTATTATCAGGATGATGCTGGTCTCATAAAATAAGTTACGGAGGAGTCACTCTTTTTCTTTTGCTTGAAACAGTTTCAGAAAGACTGGTACCAGCTTCTCTTTGTACCTCTGGTGGAAGTCATCTGTTAGTCTGTCATGTCCTGGGCTTTTTTTGGTTCATGGGCTATTAGTTACTGCCTCAGTGTCAGAACTTGTTATTGGTCTATTCAGAGATTCGACTTCTTTCTGGTTTAGTCTTGGGAGGGTGTATGTGTCCAGGAATTTATCCATTTCTTCTAGGCTTTCTAGTTTATTTGCGTAGAGGTGTGTATAGTATTCTCTGATGGTAGTTTGTATTTCTGTGGGATCAGTGGTGATATCCCCTTTATCATTATTTGTTGTGTCTATTCTTTTCCCTTTTCTTCTTTACTAGTCTAGCTAGTGGTCTATTTTGTTGATCTTTTCAAAAAACCAGGTCCTGGATTCACTGATTTTTTTGAAGGGTTTTTCAAGTCTCTATTTCCTTCAGTTCTGCTCTGATCTTAGTTATTTCTCGTCTTCTGCAAGCTTTTGAATTTGTTTGAATTTCTTTGTAGAGTCTGGATTTTAGCCCTTTGTCAGATGGATAGTTTGCAAAATTTTTCTCCCATTCTGTAGGTTGCCTGTTGAACCTGATGATAGTTTCTTTTGCTGTGCAGAAGCTCTTTAGTTTAATTAGCTCTCATTT